TTTTTTTTTTTTTTTTTCTTTCTGCTGCTGGACAGTGGATCTCTTTGAGCCTCTTGTCATGTCCAATGGCTGCAATTATAAATAAGCTTTCTTTCTGCAGAGAGGAAGTAGCTGAGACTGAGGGTCTCAAGCTATCTCAGGGCCAGCAGCTACCCTGATCTTTGCTGGCCCATGCCAATGAGGTGGTGGCCTGGCCCCTTACCAAGAGAMTGTGGATGCAGCATGCTGCTTGTCTGAGGCAAAATAACTGACCTGGGAACACCTTCCCTTCTTTCAATTATGCCCACACAGTCCAAGACATTTTCCTTCTAAAGCTCATCCCCTCAAAAGCTTTCTAAATTCAACTTCAAATACTCATGGGGTTTTTCGGTTTTTTAAAATTTTAATTATTTCCCTAYGGCCCCTGTGGTCCCATGTTTAAAAAGCAAAGCTTCTCAGTAGGCTGAGATCACAGGTGCCATCATGGAGGCCCATGACGAGGCCCATTATGGGGAGTGTCAGTAAAAAGCAAGAGAGGATTGAGTCCCCAGGCAAGATTATAGTGCTGGTATACAACCATGTACAGCCTTGTCCAAGCCTTCTATAGCACCCGCCACAGCAAAGGTGTTGCATGTAATGTCCCAAAAATACTGACCATAGTCATTACTGTTATGGGATATTTTAGCTTATTTATGACTCTGCGCATGTGTGTATGTGCAATATGTGTGTGCATGCACAAACAAACACATTTACATCTATGTTTATATTCAATAGTGATGGGCCTGTTAAATTGGGCAGAGATTTCTCTCCTACAGATAGTTGTATAATTCACACATAGTGATGATACCTAAGGTGTTTGGGGGTGGGGATGCATAATATCTTATAAATTTGAAGTTTTTATCAGGCAGAGCAGATTACTTTAAGCGTTCAATTTCTCAGCGATCCAATTTTATTAGGATTTACTRTCATTTGTGCTGCGCATCCCTGGGGAAATAATGCTTTGATTAATGTAATCCTGGGCTGGGATCCGCCACATGCCCCTCTCCCAAGAGAAGGGCCCTGTTTGACAAACAAAAATAGAGCAGCAACTATTGCAATCTGCACTCACCTTTCGTAAGCACATAGACCCACATGCACACACACACACAAAATATAACCCTCTCCTCCTCCCAACCCCAAATACAATAGCAGCATCTCAAAACAATGTGCACTTATTCATTTACACACAATGCCTCTGATTCAATGTGGGCTGTACAGTCCAGCCCTCAAATGCACAGAGACAGCCCAAAAAGGATTCTGCTCTGTCCCCTGCTGAGAAGCTGAAGCATCTCTGGGAAGCTCAATGCTTCTCTGTATTTCAGGCTCTCCTTGGGCTCCCAACATTTCTGCCTCTTTGTTTCCCACTGCAGGCCTTGCCACAAACCGATTTCAAGTCTGCTCTTTCAGACCCAGGGGCTTGAGAAGCTGTCCCTCTGAGGCTTCCTGGCACCCACCGGGGGGACATGTACCTCTCTAAATGGGCGCTGGTAAGTGAATCACAACCAGGCACTCTGATCAGCTCACAAGGAGAGTGGGGGGACCCAGAAAAAATACGTCAGATAGAAGGACTTGACACATACATTTTTAAAGGGGAAGAAAAAGTATTCCTCTGCCTTTGGAGGTTGCTGGGGTTTGAGCAGCTTTGTTCCAGCCACCATTACCACCACCACTCCACC